TTAATGTCTTTTACAGGTGTTTTTACTCCATTTTCAAAGCTTTTCAAAGGATTTCTATGTTTTCGGATTTTAAAAGACTTTTCAGGTAATTTGAGATAAAGAGGCACAAATTGGAACAAAAAGACTCTTTTGGATAAATGCAGACCGTCAGAACTCTCATGGAGAGACGAAGACCTTCTCACCGTCTGATCACCCTCAAAATTGGACAACTTATAGAAGAATCAACCAGCTTTCAAATGCACTTGGTTAGGAGACATTCCAACGGTTGGATCTCATGATATTCCATTAGCCCCGGAGCCACTCGAAGACGGCTAGCAAGTCACGCGACCGCGGCCAACAGCCCATTCCCCGCGGTCACAAGCCTCGTGACCACGGCCAGCCACCTATTTCCCGCGGTCACGTCATTCCCGACCGCAGCCGGCTAACTCCGAACTAAAGCCCATATTTCTGAAGCCCAAAGTCATTCTCAGCCTCAATTCGAGAACCCTAGAGACCATGGAGTATTGAAGACTATAAATACTTGTCATTTAGGTCGTTTTTAGACACCACCCTTCATACTTTACAGAAAAACTTTTCCTTTAGCCGTTTTTATGCGATTTTTGTAGAAGATTGTTCAAGTTCGAGTTCTTGAATAGAGAAGCTTTCTTAATCTCTTTTCTTTACTGTTTTTGATTACTTTTATTAAAACCAATGATGATGTCGACCTCAGCCATGTCTGAGTAGATCCCGAGTTGGGCTTAGGATTCCCGAAAGGGGCTCTCATAATCGATTAAGACATCTAGGTTTATAGATCTGGGATTTCAACTTTGTTCTCTGTTTACTCTTGTTCTTATTGCATGTATGCTTTATTGATCACCTAGTATCTGATCTAGATAGTTAGTATTGTGAAAGTTTTCATTAAGTATCAGCCCTAGAAGGAAACAGGCGATTTTTCCGTAGGAGTGGAAACCTACCTGCGGCGAGATCGTGAGTATTGACGAGTCTTGTGCAGCTCTTGCGTTCTCTCCCTTCCAGAGCCAGAGTGGAAACCTACTGGTCAGGATTGCGAGAAACAGTTGGTTATGATCACGACAGTGACGTAGTCATACCGACGTACTCTAGCTCTAGAACCCTATATATAGATATACGTCAATCCCAATCTATCTACCCTAGTGTTAAAACCGATTACGATCCCTGTAGAGTTCCCAAAAGCTCAGCGTTTTTACAAACCAATCGATTTTTACTTGCTTATTTAGATCCGCATTTCAATTGTTTTAGTTCGATATTTTGCTTGCTTTACTTCCTTTTCATTCGATTATTCTACTTGTTCCTTAGGATATATTTATTTGCTTTCTTTAGTTTTAGTTTAATCCGTGAAAAACAACCAACCTCTGAAACCAATCTAGTCTAGACTTAAAGTTAGAAACCGTAGAAGAATACCAGACACACAAATCTATGTGGATTCGATCCCTAAATACTACAACTGATTAGCTGTGCACTTGCGGCTTTCATTTATTTTTGTTAAGGGTAAAACTTGTTCCCTCACGCAGTTGACACGCATCAGCATCCAATTCCGAGACTAGACAACATGTTGGACGAGTTAAGGGGAGCTACTATCTTCTCAAAGGTGGATCTAAAGAGTGGTTATCATCAGGTGAGAGTGAAGGAAGGTGATGAGTGGAAAACTGCCTTCAAGACCAAGCAAGGTCTATACGAATCGCTTGTGATGCCTTTTGGTCTCACAAACGCCCCAAGTACCTTCATGAGACTCATACATCTGTAAGTTTGTAGTGTTTTACTTCGATGATATTCTAATTTACAGCCAATGCTTGAAGGATCATATTGAGCATCTAGAACAGGTTCTAGCAACGCTTAAGTTAGAGGGTTTATATGCAAATCTTAAGAAATGTATCTTCAGCACTTATCAATTGGTATTTTTAGGATTTGTTGTAAGTTCTCAGGGCCTTAAAGTGGATGAGGAGAAGATTAAAGCCATCCAAGAATGGCCCACACCCTCCACGGTTGGACATGTTAGAAGCTTTCATGGTTTGGCAAGTTTTTACAGGCGCTTTGTCAAGGATTTCAGTACCATACCAGCCCCATTAACATCAGAGATCAAGAAGAATATTAATTTCACCTGGGGGCAAACTCAAGAAGCCGCATTCAATAAGCTGAAGGAGAGCCTCGCACAGGCACCGGTTTCAGTCGTTCCTAACTTTGATAAAATGTTTGAGGTTGAATGTGATGCATCAGGTACCGGCATAGGAGCTGTCTTAACACAGTGAGGGAGGCCAGTAGCTTACTTCAGTGAGAAGTTAAGTGGGGCAACACTCAACTACCCAACTTATGATAAAGAGCTCTATGCTTTGGTGAGATCACTAGAAATGTGGCAACACTATCTGCTCCCAAAAGAGTTTATCATTGACACAGACCACGAGACCCTCAAGCACTTAAGAGGCCAGACCACACTTAAGAAAAGGCACGCACGATGGTTAGAGTTCGTAGAGACCTTCCCATATGTGATCAAGTACAAGAAAGGGCAGGAGAACATTGTAGCCGATGCACTTTCAAGGCGTTACAGCCTCATCTCTACAATGGAAGCCAAGATCATGGGGTTTGAACATATCAGGGGTGGATATGAATCTGATCCCGAGTTCTCAGAGGTCTACAAAGAAACTACAAAGGCCACATTTGGAGTGTTCTACCAACAAGATGATTTTCTATTTAAGGAGAAGCGGCTGTGTATTCCACAAGGGTCCATGAGGGAGTTGATCACAAGGGAAGCTCATGGAGGAGGGTTAATGGGACATTTTGGCCGAGGTAAGACGCTGAGTGTACTGATGGAGCACTTTTACTGGCTGCATATGCGAAGAGATGTGGAGAAGCGATGCGCCAAATGCATCATTTGTCTCCGAGCTAAGTCCAGGTTACACCCTAACGGTTTACATATGCCTTTACCTATTCCTAATGCACCCTGGATAGACATTTCTATGGAATTTATTCTACGCTTTCCTAAGATACACAACAAAGACTCCATTTTTGTAGTAGTAGACAGGTTCTCAAAGATGGCGCACTTTATACCATGTAACAAGACCAATGATGCAACTCAAACAGCTGATCTCTTCTTTAAAGAAGTTGTGGGTCTACATGGAGTGCCCAAAACCATTGTTAAAGACCGAGACACAAAGTTCCTCAGCCATTTTTGGAAGACATTGTGGAGAAAGCTTGGAACCAAACTCTTATTTTCCACCACTTGTCATCCTCAAACGGATGGGCAAACAGAGGTAGTAAACCGTACACTCTCAACCTTATTGAGAGCCACGGTTGGTAAGAATCTCAGGAATTGATTATCTTGTCTACCTTTCATTAAATTTGCTTATAATCGTTCTAAATACTCTGCTACTTACCAATCTCCTTTTGAAGTTGTCTATGGGTTCAACCCTCACACGCCTTTATACCTTGTTACTTTGCCACCAGCTATCTATTCGAGCGCAAAAGGAGAAACTAAGGCTGATTTTGTGAAGAAGCTGCACCAAAAGGTTAAAGAGAGGCTGGAGAAAAAGAACGAGAAGGACAAGGCACGAATTGACAAAGGACGCAAGGAGATTCATTTTGAACCAGGAGAGTGGGTGTGGTTGCACATGAGGCAAGACAAGTTCCCACAGCAAAGAAAATCAAAGCTTGCACAGAGGGGAGATGGACCATTCCGAGTCTTGGAGAAGATCAACGACAATGCATATAAGCTGGAGCTGCCAGGTGAGTTTAATATATCTCCTACTTTCAATGTTACTGATTTATCTCCTTTTGATGCAGGTGAAACTGTTCCGAGGACAGAACCTTCTCAAGAGGGAGGGGATGATGAGGGCATACAACCACAAGCACCACCTATACCTGCTGTGAGACAAGGACCAAGAACAAGGTCAGGAACTAGAGTCTTACGTGAAAGGTTTAATCAAGCTATTGAAGCCTTACTTAGCATCCACGAGCAAGAAGACTCTTTTTACCCAAGCTTTAAGGCCACATTCCAAGAAAGAAGCCCGGAAGAGCCTAATAAAGAAGAAGCCTATCTTATACAAGACGGCCCAAAAACTGAATTGCCACTTCTCCGACCCAACAAAGAAGTGTCCCTGTTCAGCATCAGCATAACGCCAACTTAAGACCATCCTAGCCTTCCAATCTACCAAGGTAAGCTAATGAATACAATTATCTACTTGCCTAACTTGGTTTTCTGTCTTTGGTTTGTTTTACAGGTTCTTGATATGATCCTAGGTGAGGATCAAGCCCTGGACTATTCTCCAACGATTGTGATTTCGAAATTTGATGGTTTGAGGTATTGCGGATTGAAGTGAATGAATATGACGTGATGAAATATGGTGTAACTCGGGGAAAACGCCTTGACACTTCTAAGAGAGATGAAAGATCTCTTAGACTATCAACAGAAATAAAGAGCTTGTAATGAAAGGATATAATCCGAAGTCACTAATCAAGCTGGTGATCAAACGATTTAGAGAGAGTTTTTAGAAATAAAAGGTTTGATAGATTGAAAAGAAAGACAAGAGCAATACATATAGAGTCTCGAACACATAGGAAATAACAAAGACAACTAAGACGACTTAAAGACTCAATGACTAAGACTTAGACTAGTTTGAATTTGAAAATAGGCTCCTCTCTTTCTTGATCGCATCTGGTGAACGAAATGGGCTAAGTTTCCATCAAGAGGCCTTTTGTAAAAGTGTTGTGAACAAGCCTCATTAAAAACCTTGTTTGGAAAACCCAATTGGGACAAAACCAAACGAAGGGAAAAAGAGCACAAGTCACAACCCTCTCTTGATGAACTCTTAAGTGGCTTGTATCACAACCAGTGTAGTTGGATTAGCACACTTAAGATTGCCCTGAATGGTGTGTAATAGCTTGTGAAAAGCTTGCTTGAACTTCATTGCTCTTGATCTCGTCATTGGACCAATCGGAAGATGCAAGTCTTTATCTTCGTCTAAACTTGCTTCCTCGGGTTTCAGCTGCTCTTAGTCTTCATTCAATTCTGGTTCAGGCTCTCCTTGTTCTCCTTCAATCTCCTCAGTTCCTAAGCTGGTCTTGATCATATCATCCTCTCCCACTTGAAAAGGATTTGTCCTCAAATCTGTATCTTCTGCAAGAAAAGGAACTAAGTCAGAAACATTGAAGCTTGAACTTACAGAATACTTACCTTGAAGGTCCAGCTGGTAGGCATTGTTATTGATCTTCTTGATGATCTTGAAGGGTCCATCGATTCGCGGCATAAGTTTAGACTTTCTTTCATATGGAAATCTGTCTTTCCTTAAGTAAATCCACACCATGTCTCCTTCTTCAAAGATCATCTCCTTTCGGTTCTTGTTGGCATGCTTGGCGTAGTACTTAGTCTTATTCTCAATGTTGATGCGCGCCTTCTCATGGATCTTTTTTACTAGCTCTGCCTTTTTCTTTCCATCTAAGCTAACTCTTTCACTCAAAGGTAAAGGCATTAGATCCAAAGGTGAAGTAGGATTGAACCCGTAAACGATTTCAAATGGTGAGAACTGAGATGCAGAATGCTTAGCATGATTATAGGCGAATTCTACATGTGGTAAACATTCTTCCCAAATTTTAAGATTCTTTTTAATCAATGCACGCAACAAGGTGGACAACGTTCTATTAACTACTTCAATTTGACCGTCAGATTGCGGATGACATGTGCTAGAGTGCTAAAGTCTTTGACAAAATCTTCGATAGAAACCCGCAAGTCCATGAAAGCTTCTTACTTCACTAACAGACTTTGGACTTGGCCAATCTTTAATCGCCTTTATCTTTTCTTCATCAACCTTGATTCCATCTGCACTCACAACAAAACCTAAAAAGACAAGGTTATCTGTTCCAAAAGTGCATTTCTTTAAATTTGCATACAAGGTCTCCATTCTAAGCACTTCTAAAACCTTTCTAAGATGCTCCACATGTTCATCTAAGCTTTTGCTGTAAATTAAAATGTCATCAAAGTATATCACAACAAAATGACCTATATAAGCTCTAAGAACATGATTCATTAACCTCATAAACGTGCTAGGCGCATTGGTTAACCCAAAGGGCATGACTAACCATTCGTATAAGCCCTGCTTAGTCTTAAAAGCAGTTTTCCATTCATCACCCTCTTTCATTCTAATCTGGTGATATCCACTCTTAAGATCTACCTTAGAAAATATGCTAGAACCATGTAATTCATCAAGCATGTCATCCAATCTAGGTATAGGGTGTCGATACTTCACCGTGATATTATTGATGGCTCGGCAATCTACACACATTCTCCAGCTGCCATCTTTCTTTGGGACAAGTAAAACAGGTACTGCGCATGGACTCATGCTCTCACGAATGTGCCCTTTGTCCATGAGCTCGGTGACTTGCTTTTGAAGCTCTTTGGTCTCCAAAGGATTAGTCCTATAGGCTGGTTTGTTCGGAAGTGAGGCTCCGGGTATAAAGTCAATCTGATGCTCAATGCCTCTTATTGGTGGTAAGCCCTGCGGATTCTCCTCTGGAAATACGTCTTTGAATTCCTGCAAAAGTAATCTTATCTTGCTAGGAATATCCTGCGTAGGCATATTTAGGTTAAAGCATTCTTTGAAAACTAGTAAATAGTTTGGGAGTTGACTTCCCTTTGGTTTGGTGATCATGAGGCTCGTTGATAGAGAGTTTGTAGAAGTGGTTTGCACTTTGTTCTTCTTCATAGCGATCTGGTCCTGCTGAACTTCTTGAGGAGTTAAGGGAACCAAAGTAGTTTTCTTGCCGTGATAGTCAAAGGAATAACGGTTTGTGAAACCATCGTGCATAACCCTTCTATCTGATTGCCATGGTCTTCCAAGTAAGATATGCCCCGCATCCATAGGCAAGACATCACACAGAATCTCATCCTGGTATTTGCCTATCGATATTGGCACCATAACTTGATTTTTGACCTCCATTTCTCCAGCCTCATTCAGCCATTGTAGCTTGTAAGGTTTCGGCCTCTTCATTAGTTTCAAACCTAATTTTTCTACCATAGACTCACTAGCCACGTTAGTACAGCTTCCACCATCTATTACTAAGCTGCATACTTTTCGTTGCACCATACATCGGCTGTGAAAAAAATTTTCCCTTTGCTCGTTTCCCTCGGTCTTGGTTTGAACATTCAGAGTCCTTCTAGTTACCAATAGTTCACCTCGGGCAGGCATCTCTATTGGTTCCTCATCTTCAGACTGTTCCTCTTCAGTTTCCACTTCTCCATTCTCTTTAATGATCACTATCTTCTTGTTGGAACAGCTACTCGCATAGTGACCATACCCCTTGCACTTGTAACACTGAATATCTCTATTCTTGGAGGTAGTCACCACTTCTTTTCCTTTGACGCTCTGTTCTTCACCCTTAGACTTGGAGAATGACTTAAAATCCTTTTGGAAACTCGTTTTCTCATCCTTCTGAAAATTTGGCTTGTTGGATCCGTAGCTAGGTTTATAGTTTCTTCTTTTGAGCTGTTTCTCAAACATAATAGCCTTGTGCAACAGTTCCTCTAGTTCCACGTAGTGATGCACCTCTAAGCGGTCTATAATTTCTCTGTTTAACCCCCCCCATGAACCTAGCCATCGTTGCTTCCCTGTCTTCACGAATATCGGCTCTCATCATGAGAGTTTCCATCTCCTTATAATATTCTTCGACTGATCGGCTTCCTTGGGTTAAACTCCTGAGCTTGAAATGCAGTTCTCTGTGGTAATGACTTGGTACAAATCTTCTTCTCATGATCGCCTTCAATTGGTTCCATGATTCGATAGGATCTTCTCCTATTCTTCTTCTGGTTGTAACGAGGTTATCCCACCAACTTAGGGCATAATCTTTAAACTCTGTTGGGGCCAGCTTTAACTTGTGCTCGGTGGTGTAGTCTCGGCAGTTAAACATAAGTTCAATCTTCTTCTCCCACTCCAAGTATTCTTCAGGATCAGCGGTACCTCTGAATTCAGGAATCGTGAGCTTAAGGCTTCCCATAGGATCACTAGACCTTGGCTTTCTTTCTTCTCTATCGCTTCCTCTTCTCCTTGATGAACGAGCTCTAGAGGAGTTGCTGTAGTATTGTTCCAAAGCCGAATGGTCACTGCTCTTTCTTGGTTTGTCCGAAACCATCTTCTCCATGTCAAATCTCATACTTTCAAACTCCCGCTGCATAAGAGACATCATTTGAGTCATCATAGCGTCCATCATAAGTTTGTTGGTTGATCCGCTTGGGTTCGCGGGGTCTTCTTTCTCATGAGCCGATTCCTCCATTGTACCTGTTCAGATGACAAGTAAAAGAACCAGTAAAAGAGCTCGAAGAATACACACGCTAGTTTAAAAATTGATCAAATTCGATACAGATCATGATACGACAATCGGACTTTTAGAAACCCTAATTCTCTCTATGAAAATTCTTTGAAATTCTGGATGACTTGTAATATAAACTAGAGAGATCAGATGCTAGAGAGCACGATCCGACTAGTTTCACACAAATTTTCACGATCAAAATAGAATATGAAAAGTCATAAAATCGTTAAACACGAAAAGACACAACCTGGGTTGGAGATTTGCTCTGATACCACTTGATATGATCCTAGGTGAGGATCAAGCCCTGGACTACTCTCCAACGATTGTGATTTCGAAATTTGATGGTTTGAGGTATTGCGGAATGAAGTGAATGAATATGACGTGATGAAATATGGTGTAACTCGGGGAAAACGCCTTGACACTTCTAAGAGAGATGAAAGATCTCTTAGACTATCAACAGAAATAAAGAGCTTGTAATGAAAGGATATAATTCGAAGTCACTAATCAAGCTGGTGATCAAACGATTTAGAGAGAGTTTTTAGAAATAAAAGGTTTGATAGATTGAAAAGAAAGACAAGAGCAATACATATAGAGTCTCGAGCACATAGGAAATAACTAAGACAACTAAGACGACTTAAAGACTCAATGACAAAGACTTAGACTAGTTTGAATTTGAAAATAGGCTCCTCTCTTTCTTGATCGTATCTGGTGAACGAAATGGGCTAAGTTTCCATCAAGAGGCCTTTTGTAAAAGTGTTGTGAACAAGCCTCATTAAAAACCTTTTTTGGAAAACCCAATTGGGAAAAAACCAAACGAAGGGAAAAAGAGCACAAGTCACAACACCTCTCTTGATGAACTCTTAAGTGGCTTGTATCACAACCAGTGTAGTTGGATTAGCACACTTAAGATTGCCCTGAATGGTGTGTAATAGCTTGTGAAAAGCTTGCTTGAACTTCATTGCTCTTGATCTCGTCATTGGACCAATCGGAAGATGCAAGTCTTTATCTTCGTCTATACTTGCTTCCTCGGGTTTCAGCTGCTCTTGGTCTTCATTCGGATCTGGTTCAGGCTCTCCTTGTTCTCCTTCAATCTCCTCAGTTCCTAAACTATCAGTTCTATTCATAGTTTTAAGTTTAAGAATATTTCTCTAGTTATTGCACGAGTCTGTACTTGCTTCTTTAGAGTCCCAGAATTTGTGTCATTTATTGTATTTGCTTAAGTCCCCAAGAAGGGCAAAGCTGCATCGGACTCTCTTATAAAGTCCCTAATAAGCAACCGTGTATTTTTACCCTACTATCAATAAAGAACACACTTCTTCAAGCAAAGTCTTACCCTCAGAATTCATTGAATTCATCTAGAGTTGGTGTTTTATCCTTTTCTTAAGAGCTGGTGTTTGATCCATCTCTTACCGGTTTTATCAAAGTTTATTCCGTAGATCTTTGTGGCGACCCTCGTTCCACCATGTGCATCACTATCATTCCATCCCTTGACTCAATCAGAGAGAGTTACACAACCAACTGATCGAGTTCCATCCCCTTTCACTTCAAATCCGTTCATTATTTTTGTTGAGAGAGTTACACAACCAGCAACAAAGATCCATCACCACCTATAGGCCCGTGCCTATATCATCACTTCTTGCAAAAGATTGAGTGTGCTCTTCATGATTAGTGAGTAGTTTCGCTATTAAGGTCTTATGGGTAGATTAGGGTGCTGAAATGCTAGATTAGCGAGTTTAGGTTCTAGATCTGCATCATTCATTCTCTAACAAACCGATCTCTATGCTAGATCCTTGAACATCACATGTGGTCTAGATCAAAGACATATTCTCGCACCAAAAGTGTTTGTAGAAATGTCTGAATCAGGTTTTGTTTGAGGTTTAAGAGTCTTTCATCATGATAATGATAGTTTGTTTCTCTTAAATGACCTATTGAACTGATTTTCAATGCTTGCTGATTCATTCTTCTCAAAAGGGATTTTGGTATGAAAGAGGATCAGTATAGAAGTTTAATGCCTTCATGAGAGGATTATCTTGTTTATGAGTTCATGATAAATGAATCTGCTTGATTGTTTGATCATTAACTTGCTAGTTCAGTATAGAAGCACCCTAGTTCATTATCCTTTCTAAGACCTTTGCATCCTCATTTCATATCACCAACCCGCTTATCTTGCTATTCTTGTTTCCTTGTTTGCATTTTGCTTTAGTTTAAATCTTATGTTCTGTTCTTGTTTTGCAATTAGTTTAGAAACCAAAACCTTACTTGATTCGCTTGACTTAAGATTCACAGCATCATAAACTAGTGTCTAAACCACAAGCATGGATTGATACCTCTTCATTACTACAATGATAGGGGATTGATAACCTCTTAAATGCCTAAAAACCTAGTTACCAATCAACAACAAGGATTCAATCTTCGTAGTGGTTGATCGGTTCTCCAAGATGGCCCATTTCATTCCATGTAACAAGACCAATGATGCTACTCAAACCAACGATCTCTTTTTCAAGGAAGTGGTGCGTTTACATGGAGTTCCAAGGACCATAATCTCTGATCAAGAAACCAAATTCCTCAGCCATTTCTGGAAGACATTGTGGAAGAAACTAGGAACCAAGCTGCTCTTCTCCACCACTTATCACCCACAGGCTGACGGCCAAACAGAGGTAGTAAACCGGACACTCTCCACCTTGTAGAGAGCTACGGTGGGTAAAAACTTGAGAAATTGGTTATCTTGTTTAGCATATATAGAGTTTGCTTATAATCATACTAAACACTCGGCTACTAAACAATCACCATTTAAAGTTGTTTATGGGTTCAACCCCTTTAGATCTCTCACTGGTTCCCCAAGCTGTTTATTCTAGTGCAGAAGGAGATACCAAAGCCAAATTTATGAAAAAGGTGCATCAGCGGGTCAAGGAGAACTTGGAGAAGAAGACCGAGAAGCTGATAAACACCGAAAGGGGCTCACGTTTGAACCAGGAGACTGGGTCTGGCTTCACATGAAGACCGAGAGGTTTCCAAACCAGAAGAAATCAAAGCTTTTACCGAGAGGAGATGGACCTTTCTGAGTTCTAGAGAAGATTAGTGAAAATACATATAAGCTTGAGCTGCCAGGTGAGATGAACATTTCTCCAACCTTTAATGTTACTGCCTATAAGAGTCTCAGAAGCCGAAATTACTTGAGCCAAGGCATTAGGTATTCACTTAAGAAGTTATGGATTCACAACCTGGACAAAAATCCAAGTCTGGGGGAACTCTAAGGAGAACCTGAAGAAAGGAGATCAGAAATCTTAAAGCAAGAAGAATGTGACTGAAACTGTGGGGGCATTTACAGTTCCATCCTCTCTTGCTGTTTTGCATCATGTCCTGTCTCTCTAGAAAAAGGTAACCCTAAACACATCAACCTTACCATTAAAAAGCTTTTTTGATACCTAACCTTGAATGCCTTGTTTAATATCCTTTTGATGAGAACCACTGAAACCTTTAATGAATGTTAAGAGCTAGTTGACTGGAAGTTAGTTCTAAGTGTGTGGATTTTTGCATGACGGATTAACCTACTAGTTATGTTTGTATTTTGGTGAGAATTTTCTAGACTTGATCTGATTGATGCATTGTCCATAATTAATGTCTAGAAGTATGGTTGCTAATATTTTTGAGTTCCCTCTCATTTCTGTTGAATGATATTTTTCCAGATTTGATCTTGTTTTGTTTGAGGAAAAACAAAGTCTTAAGTCTGGAGGAATTGATAACACCCGATTTTGACCACTTTTCACCATTGATTTTCAAATGCTTTTTCAAAGGTTTTACTTAGTTTTACGAACTTTTATTATGATATCTATGTATTTGTAGTTTCAAGGCTCTTTTCAGGAAACTTAGGGAAAATGATGGCAAAATGGAAGAAATCTACTTTTTCAGCTCAGAGTCAGACCGTCAGACTTCCAGCCTCAAATGAAGACATTCTCACCGTCCGATCCAGCTCAAACTTGGAATCAGTCAAGAGGAGACAACCAGCTTTCCATAGCACTTTACATCACAAAGATCCAACGGTGAAATCAAAATATACATAAAGAACAAGTTGACCCAGTTCACCAGTCCTGGAAGACTCTTGCCCGCGGTAAACACATGTTTTACCTGCCCTAGAAGACTCTAACCCCGGTCGATCTTAGGAAGAGCCACAAGGCCCAACATTAAAGCCCACTTCGCCATTTCTCTTCAGACAAGCCCTAAATGAGACCTAAAAGACCTTAGGACCTATAAATACATTGTTTTGCAGCCCTAAACAGGTGTGTGCTCCTGTAATGAGATTTTGAACCACCAAACTCTGTTTTTCTAGGGTTAGGAGATGGAGATGGGAATTCTTCCCCAGATCCATTGTTCTTTCTCCTTTTTATCATATTAACTTTTCTGTTTCATTGTTTTCCATTCTTTTATGTCTTTCACCATTCATTGCATCGTGTAGATTAGTCCCAGAGAGTTAAGTTGTTTTAAGGTATCGACAAACATATATATCGATTAGGATTTCTATTGTTCTTAGCCATATTCTGGATCTCATCTCTTCTAAGTTGTTCATAAAGCATGAGAGTAGATTCTTGACCTATTCTCTGAGCTTAGGATCGATTAGAACCACGAGAGTGCTGTATCAGATCATCCGTACCTAGCTTCAGAAGAACATAGTCGCTATAGGAGTCGAAAGCTACCTATAGAGAAGATGTTAGCATACGAATTCAATGTTTAATGCATGATCTTAAGTTTAGCATGAGAGCAAGAGTTAATTGCTAGATCTAAGAGATTAGTTGATTAAGGTAACGACAATTGGTTAATCATACATATGTCTATTCTAGTTCAATGCAGATTCCCATAAACAGATGAAGATAAATCGTCCGGAAGCTAATTGGAAATGCCATCATACATCGATTAGAGTAAACCGGAGAAGTATAAATCGCTACCTTTGAGGTTAAGAGTCTTTAGTT